AAACTGAAGGTTGTGATCCAATTCAAATCCACGAGCAACTCTAAACTGGTCATTTTATTGACTGCAACAAAAAAGAACAGTTCATTAGTAAAGAATAAATTAAGCTCGTAAACTCATAGGAAAGGAAAACCTACTCGTCTCCTGGAAACGGCAAATGCCATCATGAAGAAAGAAAAAGAATTTTTTCTCATAAGGTCCTACATTACTCAGGTAACTGTGTATTCTCGCTCCTATGGTAGTTTGCCTAGACAGGTAGTAGGAATCCTTGTCCTTGCTCTTTTTTAGAATGTATGAGCAACCGAGCTCTATCGCGGTTAGCAACCGAGCTTTATCGCGGTTAGCTCGCCTAGTTTGTTTTCACGGCACGCGATGTACATGGCCACGACTATCATGTATGCGTTCGGTGTAAGCTGCATTGGTGCGATCTCAAAATGGTTGAGGATCGACCTGACAAAGGGGTGGAAAGGGATCAACTCCTCAACCTTGAAAATGTCCTTGAAGATCGCGGCTAACCTTCGTGGCGGATACCAAGCTATGTATGTCCTATCGCGGAAGACCTCCATGCTGATAGCGTACTGGTCTACCACCCTTTCAAGCTCTTCGTCAGTAAGTACCGAGAAGATCTCTCGAGTGGGACCCACAGGGGCATCCTACATGGCCAAATTCGCCCTTTCCTCGGCTTTGGTCGTTGGGGGGTCCATTATCCTATGGTCTACAAAAGCGACAAGCAGGGAGCCATTCAATCCCCATATGCTATTTCGTATGATGACGTGGAGGAGAAAATAAATATTTCCTCCCTTAAACCCTAGAAAAACCCTAACAAAATACTTAAGAGCCACCATCAATGGCTCTGACCTAACGGAGAATATTTCATCTCCGATGAGCTACCGACGGACAGTCATCGCATGGCGACTTTCGAAAGCAAAAAACATTAAAAAGGGGGCAAGGGAATCATCTTTACCTCTTGAAATGAGAAAAGCTAACCCTTTTGCTCTGAATATCGAACGAACCAGTCCGGAAGGCAAAGAATCAAGGCTTACGAGAATTTCTTGCTCTCTCTGAGAATAAAAGTGTTATGGCTTTGTCTGAAGAAAGCTTGGGGTTTTATAGTGGAGGAAGTGGCGCTTCAGTTTCCTAAAGTCAAATAACGTTTGGGCGGAAAACACATCTGACCATTGATCAAGACCATGTGTCATGAATCAGCGAGGAAGAGTGACTGTCACGCCTCAAGAAACCAGATCGTCATCCCTTTCTATTGAAACACTCAAGCGACGGATCATTTCCCTCCACCACATTTAATGCGCCCACATTCGCATTTAATGCTCTGATAGGGAATGTCGTTTTAGCATGGCTCGCATTAAATGCGCATGGCTGGCATTAAATGCGCATGGCTGGCACTTATTGTGCATAAGACACGTCTGTCAGAGCAAAAGGTATTTCATTTAATGTATCCACTGCAAAAGTGCAACGGATAACATCTGAAGAGGTCGTTAGCTATAACACTTCACCTTATCAGTTGCAAAGCGACGTGATTATTCAACCTCATCTCACGTCGGTCGCGAAGTGACGTGACATTAGTTGCGAAGCAGTGTGACCATTTATCCTCTTGAAAGATGCTAAGTTGTAAACAGGTCGAGAATTCCATCCAGGTCAGAATCATCATTATAGCACTGGGTACCTAAAACCAAGTCACTGACTCTAAGGGAAAAGATCACCCAAGGTAGTATGCGAGGAAATGTCCCCTAACCTCCTTTGCATTCAGATTGGTTCGGCCAGCATCTCTTCAAACACATCAGATCAAGGCATTTATAGTTTCCAAGGTTCAATTCTTAAACCTTAGAAACTAGGGGACTTCTGTTATGCCTAGAAAAGTAGGGCTGATGCAGAGCCTAATCAGAATAAATGGTCAGAGTCTGAATAAATCCTACAGCCGTTCAGGCGCAGCCATGTCGCATGCTGGCATAAGCAGCATGCTTCTGCCAGTACAGTGAGCTGACGAAAGGCTGGAGGCCGTCCACATGTCCAATCCCTACATGAACTGAGGAAATCACTCGAGTAGGCAAACATCGAGACGCAAAGAAGGATTTGCACGATATATGCCCCCTTTTACGGATTCAGTAATCATTACCTCATGTATCCCACTATAAATAGAGAGCTCCTCTCCCATTTGTGGGATTGGCTTATTTTTACTCTGCATTAAGCTTACTCTCTCTCTCTCTCTCTCTCTCTCTCTCTCTCTCTCTCTCTCACTTGTATTCATAGTGCTCTAAAGCCAACTCGCTAGTCGCGACCTGACCTTTCGAATGTAAATATAATATCAATGGACATAGGATTCGCTTGTTTAAGCATCTGAATCACTTAAAACATTGTCTCCCCGTTTCAATGCATTCAATCCCTCATTCATGTGTGTCTCCTAAGTCAACTCAGCGTTTCCCACGTGCGAGTCATTGGTGTCAAAATCAAACATCAACAAAAAACAATGAAGCTATTATAATACAAATTTTTAACACATATTGGTGAGACAAATTATTAACCATTGATCATGTTTCAAAACTTGCTAAATTGGTATTAAAAATAACTATTTTTAACTTCTTCTTTTCTGTACGTTCATAGATTAAGATTTTCTCATGAGCTTTACTTGATTATCTTTAAGATCTATAAAAGCTCTACGAAATCCGATAAAAAGAGGATCATAATTCCGAGACTAGACCGAAAATGGGCAATGTTCTGAAAACTGGACCGGACAATGACCTGTTCAAGGGTTCGATTTTTGGTTTGATCGATTTGACCGTTTGGATCGGTCGGTTGGACTATATTTTGTAAAATTATAGTTTAATCCCTAAAGGTTTGAAATTCATCAAAAACGCCCCTATAATACTCCCATAAGGTTTGAAATCCATCTAAAACACCCCTATCATGAAGATACAAGTGAGTGGTGGCGGCAGCAACGATCGACGGCCGATCGAAGCTGGAATCTTAGGGCTTTTGATGTATAGGTGTCGGCAAATCGATGGCGGTGCTAGGGAGTTCCATCGGCGTCGGAACTCGTCGAAATCAACAAAAGAAATCCGACGGTCGTGTAAACTTTAGGTGGACGGCGAGCAACGAAGGCTGGACGACGGTCACTAAAAATGGATGGGTTTGGTCGTGGAGATGCCATCACATCGAATGGTGGTGTTTTCTCCGTCAAATGATGCTGGAATCCGACGGGATGGAGATGTGATTGGACCGCGACTCGGTAGTTTTCCCCAGTCCAACCGCAGCTAAATCCGATTTAATGGCAAATACCAGTTTTTATAACATATCGGACCGGAAATACCGCTGGTTGTCGGTCGAACCAGTCCAATCGGACGGTCCGGTCTGGTTTTCAGAACACTGAAAATGGGTACATAGAATAAAACTTAATGATTTTATTTTTTTAATAAACACGAGCTTGACTCTAAATCTAAGTTTTACTTGTACTCTAAGCTTCTGAAAGACTTTAATATTGTAATTATATAAATTATATTATCTCCAAATCTAAGTTTTACTTGTACTTCAAGCTTTTGAAATAATTTAAATTTTAATATATAAAAGTCTACCCATTTTGACTTTTAGATTTTCATTCCAATTCCAATTCCAAGTGGAGTATATACTGAATAAATAAACCCATGAATTTGATACCATTAAATTTGTCAAACCGGCAGAGATTATTAACCCCAAATCAGTTGGTTCGATTTAATTTGACTACTTTGTAGTTAATAATATTTTAAACTGGTTCTAATTAACTTTTTGATTAAGTGTATAACATAACAGTGTAAAATATTATTGGTTTGAATATAAAATTATTGAAAAATTTCAATTATTCTATTACTTAAAGTCCAATGTTTATTGGAAAAATTTTAATTGACTTCTTATAAGAAAATATGAAAATCTTGTAAGAAAAGCAACTGCAATGACCCGTTGGTTATCGACCATGAAGTACTCGCGTGGTCAATTTTGGACTCTTAGAAAGCCTCGAGCCTTCTCGGAAATTAGGGAAGTATGAACACCTTTTTTTTTTTTTTTTTTTTTTTTTTTTTTTGTAATAAAACTTGGGAAAATTATAACTGAAAATCATTGGGATGTTTACGATTACAATCAAAACTGGTTTCAAAATAATCGAAGGAATTTTGAATAATCAAATTAGGAAAAATTTACTTTTTCGTGGATGCACGGATAATTATTCTATCAGAACATGTTATATTATCGCACGTGATGTTTTTTAGATCTGTCTTTGTTTTATATAGATAATCATGTTATTAGAGCATGTCATTTTCATTTTGAATGGATAATAATGCCATTAGGACATGTCATCTTTATTTTGAATCGATAATCATGCCATCAATTAATGTTATATCATTAATGTTTTTCGTTACATCATTTTGCATGGATAATCATATTAAAACGTGTCATATCATCACACGTAATATAAAAATATGTCTTAAGGTAAGACTACACTTACTGATTTTGCATACCAAATAAACATCTTGACTACGACATGAGTAATCCCTATCATAACCACGTCGATTAGAATGTCCATTCAGTACGCAGAACTAGTAAATTTAGTATTTCTCATATTTTTAATATAATTTTACTTTTAATATATCCTTATTATTTATGGATAATCATGAGAACATGTCATGTCATATCATAGCACCTAATATATTACACATCCGCTGCACAAAGATTGTCTCATCAAATTAGTGTTGATTGCAATTTTGAGATAGAGGACTTGTCAAATTTTTACCATTCTATTTGTTTTTACTAAAATAAAATGGGAGAAAATAATTAAACACTATCCCTTAAAAATCCTTTATTTATTTCTGCGAAAATAAATACAAAAAAAAGAAAAGTCAGAAATTGCTTGGAATTACAAACTATTCCCTTTCTTTTTTTTTTTTTTTTTTTTCTGTAAATATACCTCCATAAAATGATAAATGCCTGATAATTCATCACCAAAAAAAAATCAATCTCAAAAATTAAAAAATTAAAAAGAATTTCATATAAACAGAAAAGAAATCTCAGTATCTGAAAATAACTATTGATTTTAGCTTGGCCTCTAGCTATACAATGTTGAATCTTCTTGGCCTTTCAGCTTTACAAAGTTAACTTGTAGGCATACAAAACTTGTTCAGCTTTGTGCTCAAAATATGAATTCCAGTAATTTGCAATGCCAAAAGTCATCGCAATGGTACGAATTTCAGAATTCCTTAGTCTTCCGCCTCAACTCATTCAGCTCACTCTCGATCTCGGAATCTCGGAAAGGAAAAGAAGTCGTGCTTGTCGCAGCCGCTCTTCCGGGAGGAAGCTCTCCTTTCTGTTTATACGATTAAAAGGAAAGAAATTCCAGATTGTCAAAATGGAAGGTAGAATTTTACAGCTTAAGATTGAAGTGATTTCTTCCAGGCGAAGAACTACTGCTGAGGGTACCCCAAAAAATTAATGGAAGCATAAAGTTTTCTGTGCAACAGGCATCTGTTCTTTCTTTTAAAGCAATTCAAAATTTGGTATCAAGAAATAGAAGGAAAAAACACCATTGCCTCTAATGATTTTTGGTCAGCTACGAGATGCAGCATAATGAAAATTTACCAGAACAAGAAATTATTGGAAGAACATTAAGAAATTCTTATGTTCCATGTATAACAGTATAAGGCATACCTTTGAGCTACTGGACAGCTCCTTTTTAAGGTTTGCAAGATCATCATCGACTGATGAGCTCTCAAGTAGCGCAAACTGAAACAATTATGCCAGGTATCATCCGTTCATATAAGGGACATGAAACTAATATTATGAAAGGAAGGAAAGGAAAGGAAAAAGACATAATTTGTACCTTCCCTTCAAGATCATCAGTAGTTAACTGGTTAAGAGCATCAGCTTGGGACTCCATTGCCATCACTATCAAGAGGACATTGAAAAGTAATGGGGTTAGGATTTGTCTAAAACATTTAGATCCAATCTACAGCAAGCGATGATGTAAGCACATTTAAAATCAAATGCAGAATGTAATGATCAAACAGCAAATTTCAGACACGAAAAAACATACTAAGCAAGCATATTGACCATACCAGGTATTATAAATTTATTGTATTTATCAAATGGTCAACAAAAATGCAACCAACCCAGCAATTATTAGTGAGAGAAAAAAGCATGGACAAAAAAGCAAATAAAGATGACACACACACACATCATCTTCAACAATGAGACGTGTGGCAATGTTAGAAAGAAAAGGAACTGAACTGAAAGGCATTTTGAGATGGTAGAGATGGCAAATGTGCAAGGGGAAAAGAATAAAAATTATGTGGCTTGGTAGGTGAAGAAAGCTCAGTGCAATTGAATCAACAGAATATATCCATAGTTGAGCTTTCTGCAACGGAGTTACATAGAATAAACACAAAGACTGAAACAATTAGAACTTTAATTTTGAGAAACAGGTTACACAGTACAGTGCATTGGAAATATGGGGTATTTATCATTTAGGGATTATTTGTTTCAGAAACTGAGATAAATACCCCAAGTTCTAAAAACCACAAAAGATGATCGTATAACAAATCTTACTCGTCAAAAATAACAAAATTTTGTACAAAGATCAAAGTATCCTTTAACTTGAGAAAACTATAAAATAAAATTTAAAACGGTTTATGATCCTTTAATTTATTATACTGGATTTTATTCAATAAGCTGAAGTTACATTTATACTCTTAATTTGTGTCATCTTTAACAGCCAAGGTCTGTTATGTGATCCTTTTTTGAGACTTTTAGAACTTGGGGTCTTTTTGTATAAGTTTGTAAAACAAATGACCCCTAATTGAAAATAACCCAAAGAAATATTAACTACATTTTTTAACAAGTTAACCATGTCGACCCCTGCAGTTCTAGCAATAGTCAATCATATCATTTGGAAAGGTTTAAAATGCTAATATAAGATCAAGATATTATATAATAGACAGCAAAGACATAGAAATGTCACAGATGGGTTGACATTTGCAGGGCCATCTTGAACATGACATTTTTAGTGCATTCCTCTCTCATGCTTGTACAGCAGATTCATAAGGTTTCTATCATTTGTAAATGATCATCATGCTAACTCTAAAGTCATCAACTCACAGGATGCTGACTCAAAAGAGATCAATATAAGGTCCAGAGCAAAAGAGACTATTCCTAAAGCCAAAGACAGTAAATACAAGTACTAAGTCTTTTCTTTGATATCCACAAATCAGCCAATCAAATCCTAAATAGTAAGTTAGACTCGAGAACACCATTCACATTTTTCTTTTTTCTTTATGAGAAAGTGTTATACAACAAGAAATATAAAGTCAGAGGACAGATTAATATCTAAGAACAAAAGTTGAAGAATGGTAAAATTTTATTGCTGTTAAACGATATAAATTACAAGTACAATCAACCAGCTTATCGCATTATCGCTGCCCAAATTTTCAATTTAACCATATAATCACATATACCCAAGTTGCCTAATTAGTTGCAAAGTTTCACCTGTTTATTGGACCTTAATCATTAACTACTGTGTCCTTGCAGGGCAAAACAGAGGAACATATGCCAAGTGTTATTGAATTTTGGCAACTAGAAAGTGCTTCATGTGGTGGTTATGGATGTTTTATAACACTACATATAGAAGTTTTATAGATACAATTTAACCCCCTGAACGAATGTAATCTAGTCTTGTTGCATGTGTTAGAAAATAAATGAAATGTGAAAGAATTCAGCAAATGGAAGAAGGAAGCACAAAGTTGTATAAATCCTATTCAATTCAGGGGTGTAAAGAAAACAATTGAAATTCCATAATATATATAGGCACAAGGTGCCCATACTACCCAATGAAAATTTTCCAATGCCATGAGACAAATGTTAGTTGATGTCATGCATGGCACATATTACACTTGCATGACACATTACTTTCTGTAAATGGTGGAGATCCACCACCAAAAACACTATTTGACTGGACTCAAACACCACTTGGCAACTTAACTAACTTGACTACATTTGATGGCAAAGTTTAATTGGACACTTGGGCAGCATTATTAAAAATTGGGGATGACTGCACTTGTAATGTACATGGTTTAATATGCGTTATCAGCATGAGTAAAGCACACATTAAAGAGAGTCTATTTTGGAGTTTTAATATAAAATAAAATAAAAGTTCCTCTAGATGATCATGCCCAGGTCCAAATGTGCCTCAAAATCGCATTGGAACAACCTCATTGATAAAATGAAAACTTGCACAAGAAAAAAAATGCCCAAAACACTTTACAAAATTCAAAAAATGATAAAGGCTCACATTCAATGCACTTATTATTATCAATATAGCATATTTCCTTCAGTAGGTTGTCATTGCCAACATGGATAAATAGATTTGGAATTATACTGCATTTTCAGGTATCTAATTCTCTTACCTTTTTCTTCCATTTTCTCAAAAGCTGAAAGAGCACTGCTTGTATTGACATTCCCCAACATCTCGCTCACTTTGGTTGCAGTCCTAAGCAAGACCAAAATATCCATTATGAGGGGCAGTAAGAAAGTAAATAGAGAAGGAACCTATTGATAGAATTGGGTGCTGGAAACAAACTTTGCAGACTGAGCACGTGCTTTCAGAGTATCTTTCTTTGACCTTGCCTCCTGTATCTTGCTCTCCAAAAGCTACACAAAATGGAATTTGGAATGCAACTATAAAAATTCATTAATATGTACACAACTATCTTATCAAAGAAGCTAATGTCAAGTACGATAAAATTATTTTTGCAAAGTCAACCAGCATATAACCAGAGAAAACTGGTTTGTCCTGGACACCAGAAAAAATCCTAAAAGTTCAACACCACTGAGGATCTCTTTGATTTAGCAATTTTGTTGGTTCCTATAGCGTTTACTGGATGCAAAAACAGAAAAATGGCTTAACTTTTCTGCACAAGTTTATTGACTTTTCAAAGAGACTGCTTCTCTTTCAACCATTAAATCCAACTTAAGAATATTACAAACAATATAGTATTTGACCAAAAGAACTTCTGCTAGTCACATTTTTAATTGGAAAAAACAAATCTTTTGAATTTAATTTCCATACCTTACACAATTAAATAAATGGCTCTTGCACTTACCATTGAATAGTTATATCAAAAAACAAAGAGTAAAAGAAAAGTACAGTATTAATATAAACAGTGATGCTTGTAAAATAAAAATCAACATACCCGTGTATTTGAGACAAGATTCTCAACAACACCCTTTTGCTGATCAAGTTGAGCTTTTAAAGCACTAGCATTATCCTGCAAAAAAGTTGGAAAAAAAAGAACAAAAAAGAATTTACATGAATTTATCACCCTATTCCCAAAAGTATTCCCAGCCCCCAAACTAGTTTTACTTCAGCAATTGTACCCTCTAACATGAAAAAAAACCAAAAGCATGTAACAATTAATTGAGCACTTGCTTTCAACAGCCTATGAGTAAACAGGTTATTCTACCATTCAAAGGCATTATCCATCTGGTCTTAATCATGCATATATAGCTCTTCAGGGTAAAAGATTATCCTAATCTGCTTTTATCAAAATCTTTGTCTGCTTGCTATTAAAGCAGACAAATACATCATAAAAAAGCAATGAATTATTGGATTAAGACTTGGACTGTAAATTTGTTGAAGTACATTGCTGTAAGGTTTGCTAAACCAACTCAACAACATGCTTTACAGAGAGGGAAATCCATACCTACTTTTCTGACATCTTTACCATACTGATAAATCAACTAATAAAATAAAACTAAAAATTCCTTTATTTTTTGAACAGTTTGCAGGGGTGATAACTTTAGTAATCAAAATCCATGGTCAAGATCCAATCAACCTTCAGTGCAATAAAAGTTATCACATTGTTTCCATGACAAAATTGCAAGAAGAAACACTTAACGCCAAGGCGCAAAAAGTTGCATTGAGTTAATAGTTAATAAGATGGTAGCATTAGATGTATATCTATCCTTTCAGTTTAAAATGTGTGAGAGGAACCAAAATAAGAAACTTGAACACATTCCTAGAATAAATATTTTGGGAAGATGACAGCTTACAGCATAAGATTTACGTCTCTTGAGAGCTTCACGAGCAAGATCTTCTTCACCTTTCTGAAGAGCAAGCTGCGCCTTACGATACCTAAATAAAACTCATAGCAAAATGATACCATTGATCCAGCACAACACTTGGGAATTAAATAATAACTCAAATGAAATAAAAATATTACCAGTCTTCGGAAGCTTGTTCTGCAGCTTTGTACTTATTTTCCAACCGCTTTTGGGATGCTAACACCTTCATTAGACCAAAAAAAAAAAAAAAAAAAAGATAATTCTTAGATGAGCATTAAAAGCAAGGCAAAAGAGAGGAAGGTGCAAGAGAATCAACTTCTTGAAATAAATTGAGGAGAACAAAAAGTTAAAGTTAATGATAAGAAGAGGGAATTCAAGCAAATAAAACAGCATATGGCTTACTTGTGCTGTGGCCTGGCGCATCTTTACCAAGTCATCATTCATTTCAAGTACTGTTTGCTCTAAAATTTTCTCTGGATCTTCAAAGGAACTTATGAGTGCATTTGCATATGACTGCACATATAAGAGAAGCAAGATCATGTAAACAGTGTAAGATATCCAAAGAAGCAAGTAGATGGCTTTAATGCTCATATTCAATATCATGATCCTATGTTATAAATGGCAATGAACAATTTTCAACTCTTACCTTGACAACTCGTGCAAACCGGTCAAAAAGATTCATACGAGTGCCTAGTGCTCCTCCACCTTGTCTATAACAAAATGATCGGCTGGAATGAGCAATTCTTAACCTTGTAACTCGTAGAGCTCCCACTGTAATCACAACAAAAATTGTGAACATCAGCAATAGGTTTAAATTGGTATTTAAGTGCCTACTGCATATCTTTTTCTCACACCAACAGAAGCAACAACAGATTAAATAAAGAAAGAGAGACAAACAGAACTGAACACTATGTAATCCTCTCTAATTACAGTACTTTCCACTAATAGTATTCATCCTTCTGCATAACTAGGCATTCACACACCCACCAAAATGTAACCTTGAACTTTGCATCCTTGAGTAATCAATTCACGTTATAATTCCGTTGACGCAACTCTTAACAAAAGAAAATGACATTATCCATTAGGCCATTATCCATCTGATGAACTTTTAAGGTCTGGGACCTGTTTTTTTCCCGTTTCTACTTAATTACCTCTGTCAATGGTATACGATTAACTTAACTTGCTCAAGAAAACACTCAATTCCAATGCTTCCAAAATTTCTTTGTTATTATAAGCAAATGCCAAATCAAATGCATTTAAAAAATAAACATGCGGCCTATTCAGTTTTACCTCTAATCAGTTTCTCCACATCGAGTTTCACAAATTATCAACTCAGCAAATTCAACAAGACAATTCCACGGCAATGCTTTTCTCTCTACTCTCCATCCATTATTCTCCAAATTAAGTCAATGTTGTTATCGCGTCTGGGAAATTCAATAACTTGCTAATCAACAAAAGTTAAGTTTTTTCTCAAGTTCCAATAGTGAGCACACAAAGTGCTGCTACAATTAAACATTAAATTTGAAGTTAACTAGAAGACAAAAACCCAAATAGAAAACTTCACAGAACACATAACTAATTCTGTTGAAATCGCAACAATTCAGCTACATAAACGAGCTCTGAGATCAATCAAAAGTTTTAAATTTCACAAGAAATTGAATATAAAAGTTTTAAATTACCAGAAACCCAATAATAAAAAAGAACCCAGCTCATTAAGCTACTACATTAACCACAAAAATAGAGTATCTTCAATATTTTCTTTCATTTTCTCTCATATTTCTAAGTAACCAAACAAATTCTCAACTGGATAACAAAAAAAGAAAAAAGAAAAAGAAAAATCTGAGAGATGCCCAATTCAATAGAGAGTGAGAATAACCAAAAGACTTCCATACCTCCGCCATTGAAAAAAGATGTGGCGAGGGGCTTCTTCACCATGCTGAGACTGTTGCTAGAGCTTGAAGAAGATGAAGAAGAAGGATTTGGTAATGGCAAAGTCAATCCCGTAATTAACTGTGACTTTGTGGCCATTTTGTGGAGATCAATAAGCTGAACAGAATTGTTGCCAGAAGACAAAATAGTTTGGAAAAATGTTTTCGGATAGAAGAGAAGCGATTAGAATCACCTCTTAAAAGTGTTTTTTGATTGCTCTTTTGTTTTCGCTGTTTTATCACAACAAAAAATCGGATCGGACAAATACAATTGGGCTGAATTTGAACTTAAAGGCCCACATATTTGGGCTCTATTTAGGCCCAATTTGTAAATTAGCATTTTAGGTTTCTTAACACTTTTCCAAAAATTATAATTAAAAACATTTTTCCCTTTTTTTTTTTTTTTTTTTTTCATTATTATCAACTACTTCATCAATTTGTATAAAACATTTTGGGTACTGGAAGTCAGTAGTTATTATTTTTATAACTGTTTTAGTTGTTGATGTAGCATTTGTCATTGAGAAAGTTTAATTTATCAGCTTATTTTTCTAAATTTATTAAAAATCTTATCAAAAATACCTTTGGAACTTAGAGGTAATAATCTTAGGAAAATGATAGAGTTACCGAAAAGTGTACACCGAAATTGTGCACCGAATGACATAACAAAATCCTAACCGTTTATTAATATTAACTTATAATGAATCAACGGTCAGGATTTTATCACGTCATTCGATACACAAATTCAGTGCACACCCATCGGTAACTGTAGTATTACTTATAATCTTATTATATTTTAGAACCACTTTAACCTTTAAATATTTATGTTTCATAACTGTTTTAGTAAAATAATTAAGGTTGAGCTTGATCATTTATGTCGAGCAAAAGTCTCTTAAGTTAACATAATTTAAAAAAAAAAAAAAAAAAATCGCATTTGAGTCAATTGATAAACCAGAATTATACTCTACTAATGTCCCAATTCGTAGCAAACAGTTTGTTTCTGAACTCGTTTCCCATTTTCATGTTTTTCCTCTTGTAAAAGGTGTGATATGTGTTTGTATATGAATTTTCCTGATGCAGTAATGAGCAGTGTCAGATGATGCAGTAATAAACAGTGTCATATGAACAGGATAAACAATGTTAGATACTTAGATGAATGATGATGAATACTGAATAGTGTTACGATTTTTGGCGAGACACTTTGAAAGAGTCAAATAAGTTAGGCTCGTAACAAAGCATGAGTTACATTGTTTTTTGAGTAATGCTAAAGCCATTAATGATAGTACATCGAATTTATGTACCGAATGACGTGACTAAATCTTGATCGTTGATTAATATTAACGATGCATAAATTTGATGCAATATCGTCGATGGCTGTATTATTTTCCTTGTTTTTTAGCCTTTTGGAGTCGTTTATATGGGTTTTTAGGCGTTTTTTATGTTCTTCAAGGTGTGTTTACAAGCTTTTGGACCTTTTTGGGTTTATTTGCAACTTTTTTAATGTTTTGGGACTTAATTTTTTTCTTGGTTTTTTGGGATTAGGGTAAACTATATAAAAGCTATTACAATCGTAATAGAGCAGTTATTATTATTATTTTTATTATATGAAAGTTTAAAAACTTTTTGTGATTGCTTATTCAATCCAGTTTTCGAACTTGATGCATTCGATGGCGTATCACCTATTCCTTGATTGTTCAATCATCTTATTGTTTGGGCATCATCCATTTTTTTTTTTCCCATTAGGAAAGTGTACAAATTTAAATTGCCGATGATAAGAGGTAATAATCTATAACCTTATTCTATATATTTCAATAAATTGTTTACATGATTTAGAACTATTTTAGGTATTGATGAAAAACAATTAAGGTTGAGAAAGTTAATTTTGTCTGCTGAATTGAGTTTATGTAATCGCGTAACAATATTAAGTTTGTCTTCTGCTTGAAAAAATTTATTTGACAAATTTTTGGTTTTTTAATCAAGGCTTTAAAACCCAACCTAGGGAGTGACCCGATCGGGTCACCGAGTTGAACCGTGATGACGTTATTCTGACATCAACATGACATATAACAAAATAATAAAAAACTGTTCAACCGCTAGGTTGAACCGGTTACACCGGTGGTTTGTAACAAAAAATTCGGTTCAATCACGGTTCAAACTGGATCATTTGAAAATTCTAGTGTTTTAGTCGAATCGACCTGACTCGATCACCTATTCCCAGTTGAACCGGCCGAGCCGAGCCGGGTTTTAAAACCATGTTTTTAATATTAAGCAATGCCAAAAAGTTCTACTTGAAAATATGCATTATACTTTAGTGTATAATTATAGAGGTTCTATTTTATTTTTGGCTATCATAATTCAAATAAATTGATGGATTTCATGAACTCTCTTTCCCTTTTTTAAAACTTGTTTTACTGATTCATGTTGCAGATGCCAAGCCTTTTTTTCTACAGATGTGGAGGAATGTTCAATAATCCCCTCCCTTGGTGCTTGCGTTTGCAACAAGTGAAAGAGAAACCAGAACAAGAAAATTTTATTTTAGATTTTTAAAGAAGAAACTTTTGTGGGAATTGAGTGACTATATACATAATCACCCTGAGACTTAGCATAAGTAGAAATTCTCTTAAATAATTTGAATATTTTAGGGTTTTGGTATGATGGTTGATGCATGTTCTTACTAAATTGATTTTGCAATAATATTGACGTGGTTGGATCCAATCTATAGCACACATTGCAAGGCCATATTTGGTTTCGTTGATATTGTGAGGTCGTATCAAGTCTCAACCAACACTACATTGTTGAAATTTTAAGGGGTCGGTTTGACGGTCAAGAAGATGTGCTTTTTTCATTGACTTCCTAAGTTCGAATCACCTTAGGATCATCTATTACATTTAGAGCTGGGCATTTGAGATAGGGTCCAAAAGCCCAGCTCCAAAAACCGGTTCTAGGACCGGTCCTTGGGAGGACCAGTCCTAGGAGGCCTGGTCCCAAAAGGGACCAGGCCTAAGGAGGAGGGCCTAGGCCCTCCTCCAAGGCACGGGCCTGGGCCCAAACTTTTTTTGTCTTTTATCAATTTAGTTATTTATAAAATTACATTAAACCCCCTAAAATAAGTATAAATTTAAGGACTAAAATAAAATTTTACAAAATTTATTTAAAAAAAAAAAAAATTAACCGTTGGCTGCCAACGGTAACTGACACCAACCGACCAACGGTTACATTTATATAATATAAGTTTTTTTTTTTTTTCATTTCTCCGCCCCCCCCCCCCCCCCCCCCCCCCCCCCCACTACACTATAAATAACCCTAAAACCTTTAATTTTTTTCACACCAATCAATCTCTCATTCTTTCATTCTCTTAATCTCTCTACTCCAAATCTCCAATCAATTTCTCATTCATTTATTTTATAATTTATTTTATTATTCAAATTTTTTCCTATTTTTCAATATCATCATAATTTCATATATTATTAATTTCTTTTCATTTTAATTATTTATTATTTTATCATAAATTTATAATGTCTTCCCCAAATGAGTTTTATGTTCCATCCACCGAAAATTGAGCCTTCAATCCATTTTCACCATTTCCTCCAGAGGATGCAGCTGTAATTCCACAACACACTTCGGGCGGACGAGGTGTAGCCAACACATGTGAGATGCAGTCAACGGCACGGACATAGCCCAACCCCCCCGACCGTCAAAGAGGGTCGTGTCCGATGTCTGGCGATACTTCACCAAATCAAAACGGCCAAGACAAATGGAGGAGAAGAATCGTGGGATATAATTTATGTGGAACCATTATTGGGCTGAGAAGGCTTCGCGATGCGACGACACGTAGAGAAGAAGCATCCCCAATAAATGCCACTTCAAGCATCAGGTAGACAAATTCAAACTCAACTTAATTTTATCCACAATCTTCAACTCTCTCAACATGACAATACAATACACATGTTGCACGAGAGGAAATAGCAATAATATAGTTGCTACGACTCTCCTATTTGTTTTCTGAAAATCCTTTTTTTGTTAATATGGTTAAAACTGCATTTTGTCCAGCTATACCCCTGTTAGTAGAACTACAAGTAGAAGAGATATACTAAAACTTTATAACAAATAAATAATAAACTTAAAAACGAATTTCAAATTTTAGGAATATATCTATTTCACTTACATCAGATATTGGGCTTGTAGATCAAAACCGATTTTTTAACTTGCAGTACATTTCTTAATCATATTGGGGTTTACAACAAAAATTGATAGGTTTTAAACCATTATAGTGAAACATAGTGCTGAAACTATTTATTTTACGATTCTTGAAGTTTTGCAAGAATATTTATTACTGATAAGTTGTAGCGCTACGCTTGATAATGCAGCTGCTAACATCGCAGCAATACTTTATTTGAAAGAAATTGGATCCGCTTGGTGAAGGCAAATTTTATCACCAGAGATGTGCTTGTCCTCATCAATTTGTAGTTAAGCAGGTTTAGATGCTATACATTCAAGGATTGAGAGGTGCGTAGAGCTATCAGATTTATCGTCGGCGGTAGTAATAAAAGAGGCGAGTACGTCACATATTGTAAGCAAGAGGACCCACCGGTTCGACCTTTGAAGTTATGTACAACATGCCTATCCTTGGAATTCTACCTACTTGATGTTGAAAAAAGCTTTGCCAACCGCGAAACAAATTACAGATTTCGTCAACCGGAAGAACTATCCAGAGGAAGTTGTCAACTATGATGATTGGGCGGTTTGTGAACTTTTTTATTTTTCTTAAAATTTTTTATGATGCTACTAAACATTAATGGTATTTATTATCCAACTACTAATTTAATGTAGATATTTAGTTCAAATTGCTAAAACTTTTGATCAATATAGACATGATAACATTTTAGTGAAATGTTTCAAGTATGGAAAAAATATAAGAGATATTAGTTTATATTCAATTCTTATATGGATTAGGCCTTTTTCTAGATCCTAGGTTTAAATTATCCGTAGTTAACGGTGATTACTGAGTTAGGCCATTATTTAGGACATGATTATACGTCTTATTTGACTGACTTTAAACACAAATGGATAGGCTTTTTTCTTTATATGAGAACAGATACAATGGAAGTAGAAGTGGAAGTGGAAGGAACGTCTAGGAGAGGCGATCATGACCTTGATGTAGCCCCCCCTCAAGGATCGAGCAAGTGGCGTATGTGGGACGG